TTTTATTCAGATAATGCCTAGTACTGTATGCATTACACAAATGGGTCTAAAATCTTAATAATTATTGATTAGTCTGTGTTTAAAGATAAGGTTACTTAGTTGTTCCTTCCTAATGTTAACTAGAAGGTGGTAGTTCTTATGCTTGGTGTTTTGATGAATATAGCCCATGGGTTATCTGTTTAAAAAAACAATTGGGTTTTATATATATGTGCAGTAAATAAAGTGGAAAAATACATCCCTGCAAGCATCCAGTTGTGCTCAAACCCTGTCAAGCTTTGACAGGATTACAAAAGTCACTGCCACTAAATATTTATTTTATCTATGAATTTAGTAAGAAGTGTTCCCTCTTACTAGTTTCAAATTTGCCTTTGCCAGTCTCCTGCTTTGCTCATACGAACATAGGAAACTACAACTTTGTGAATTGTGTGGCAGTAGCTTCTGTTTGATGTGAATGTTGCATAGCCGTAAGAAGGCAGGAAGAACAGTAGAGCTTTCAAAAGAAGCATATGTATTTGAGGAAGCCCATAGACAATTTAAAAGAAAATGTACCTGCGTGTGTTTCCTGTCTATCTTTTTATGAGCTCTGCTGTTTAGAATTCATTACAATAACAAATTTGTTCGCTTCAGTGCAAAGTTTTACCTCCTTTTCCAGAAAAATAACACAATTCCCTCATTTTACAAAATAGGTTTTGTGTAATTTACTTTGAATCATTTGCCTTTACTATCAAATGAAAAGGTAAGTTTAGCTGCCATTTTATTTTTCCCTTTCTAAGAGTCTTTAGGGAGAGAAAACATCATCCTGTAAGCCAGAGGGACAGGTGACTTGCTGCTTCATCTGCTGGAAGAGAGCTGGGAGTCCTAGGTATTCTTCAGTCAGACAAAAGTTTAGAATTCATTCCTTTTGAGCTTTCACAGAATTAATTGGAGTAGAAGCTACAGGTAAACAGGACTTCATTCACAAACCAGAGAAGAAGGTCAAGAATGTATTGATTTACCTCAAATATTTTTTTTTTCCCCAGAAATACTTTGAGGAAGGGGAGGAAAAAAAAGCTTATTATAGGCTATTTTTAGAATAAATTTTACTCACGTAATTTGTGAAGGTCCATCTAGGTCTGGAGAGTATGGAGGAATTAAATGCTCTCGGATAAATGGATAAGAGAGCACCGTGAGACTTTGCTAGCTCTGAGATGAAAGCAATTGTCATCTCTTCCTATCCTTTTTCTCCACCTGGGAACCTCTACAAAAATTTCATATAAACAAACATGGTTTTCGGTTAGTTTAATCTGAATTGTAGGCAGCCCAAAACTTCATGTATTTTGATGGTAAATTCAACATTCTGAATGTGTCAGACTTGTGTACTCATGGTGCATAACTGTCGTAGAGATTGGCAGAGGAAGAAACTGCAGTTTTGGCAACTAGGTAAGGGGCTTTTTGTACCCAGTGAGGCATGGGGAGACAGTTTGGATTTCAACATAGGCAGAAAACATTCTGACCACATGCTTACATGATCAACAATGAAACAACAAAATATTGACAGGTAGTTACTATATTTTGATGCATGTAACCTAGGGGTTATCTGTTTAAAAACAAAACTGCAATTCAGCAACACTGTAGGGATCTGTATATGCACAGATAATACAAGGGGAAGTTTATTCTAGGACCTGTCTCCTTCAAAGCTTCACAGCGTCTGATTTCCCCATAGCCTGCATCCTTTCCCATAGTTGGCTCTCACCATCCCAGTAGTCCCTCAGCTTCAGATTTGTATATGTTGTCTGAGGTTCAGACTGTATAAAATAAAAGATGGTATTATCTTTAGCTTTCAGAGTTTATTGCTCATTGAAATGAACAAGACTTTCTTAGGAAAGAAAATGACACAGGTTTTTTGTTTTGTGGGTTGGGTTTTTTGTGGGTTTGTTTTTTTGTTTGTTTGGGGTTTTGTTTTGGTTTGGTTTTTGTTTTTTTAGGTTCTGTGCCCGAGGATGTGATGTACTTCTGTAAACTTAAAAGCAAAACTTTGAGCATTTATACTCCGCAATCTCTGAGGAGCATATATAGCGATATATTCTGCAGCATAATCTAGGGCTTCGGGAGTGTAAAAAAAGTGAGATTTAATTTGTAGTATGTAGAAGTTTTAAATGTTCATATTGTTAGATTAGCACCACATTTAAATGTGTAGCTACAGTCCATAGAGCTTGGAATTTCAGACATTGTTTCCATTATCCTTTGAATAGAAACAGTCAAAGAATGGATCTGGAAGCCAGCAGGAATTTGACATCTGAGCAAAAAATAAGTGTGTTTAGCTCTCTTATTTTTCTTTCTTTTTTTCTTTGTGAGCAATGGCTAGCATGACTTTTGTGTTTTTTATAATTTCAAAGAAACACTGCTTCCTCATTTAGTTTTTCTTATTTCTGTGCAGTAGTGAAATACCATCTTTTCCTACTCTTTCTGATATTTTCACAAGTGAAGTCTGTAAGTCTTTTAATTTCACTAGCTTGATGCCTCAGCTAAATAATGTTAAAACAAACCTGCTTGTCACTGAAATTGCCGTCATTAATGCAGAAGTATGGCACCCTGAGGCACGTGAGTCTTGGCTAGCATACCTTCAGGTATTTATTCACCATTCTAGTATTGATTCTTTCTTTCCCCCAAATTGTACATAACAGCATGTGAAATATTTTTGGCACTGCTCATTAAATGAAGTGAGCACATCACAGGAGAAATTAAAGTAAGTATAACAAGAATTAAAAACTAGTATGTAGCAGGATAGTTGCACAAAACTAATGTTTTCATTATTAAAGCCAGTAGGCTGAATTTGACCTGGAGTACAACAACGTGACAATGCCTGTAACTTGTTGCAGGCTGTCTTAATGGAACAAGCAGATATGACTTCCATTTTGAGGAGCAGAGAAATGAGGGAAAGGGTGGGTGTATGATCAAATCATAATGACTTAGTGATTTTCTTCAGTAAACTAATCAATCTCAGTAAGCTTTTTAAAACCCATTTTCTAGAGTATCTGTTGCAGCATCATCTTTCATCAAACCTACAGTGAGCATGGCTGCTGGGGTATTTTACTGGCTGCTTAAAAAAGGCTAAAGATGACTGGAAGACCAGAAGGAATGAATTCTGGTCTTCGTAGGTAAGACCAGAATTTATAGTGTTGGTCTGTAGATTTATGTGAACAGTGGCAAGAACCTCACCGTACTTCTGCTCTTTTAATCGTATATATCTGAAGTGTTTCTCTCTGTGGGCTCATTTTAGAGAAGTCCATAAAATGGGCTCCAGGCTCAATTTAACATTTGAATATGATGTGTTTTACACAACATGGCATTTCTCAAGTGGGAAGTGTGTAAGATGTGTCTGAAGGTAGATATGAACAATTTACTGAAAGCTAATAAATGGACCTGTGCTCCCTAGTGCCTGTTTGCATGCTCTTAACAGTGGTGCTTAGCAGGTAGCTTAACACCTTTTGCATTAAAGAATAAGCTTGCTTGCATTTATCACATAGTAAGAGCATGCATGAAGTAGTTACTGTTGAATATCTGATGTGTGCTAAACTCACATCCTCCCTTGTTTTGCAGTAACATGCATATCGCTTTGTATTACGAGGCCTAACTCCTTTTAATAACTTATAATTAACCTCACTGTAGGCAGAAGATTGGAAATGTTCTTTCTTTTTTTTCCCGGAAGTTGGAAATGGTTATTTATGAAAAAATAATTGACATGCTGTAACTATGCAAGCGTAAAGGAAGCTGTATATACTATATACTGGCCAGTCTAAATAACTGCAAGTGCATGTTGCAGTCGTTGACAGACAAGAAAGAAGTGATCGTAGCTGCCCCAGCATGCATTCCTTGATGCTCTAAGGGTTTATTTTGTGGTTGTATCAACCGTATACGTAAGACTTACCTGGATTCATGTTAGACTTGAATTAATTATCCCTCCTGGAGTGCTTGGACGCACCCAGCTGCCTCTGCAGCACTCACTCTGTGCAATCAAGTATTTCTGCATCTCCCAATGCATCCAGTGTTACCCAGATTATCTCCCCATTAGTTTTGGTATTGAAAATTTAACAAGAGGTCTGTATTGTGTGTATAAATACACCTCACAGTTCCCTGATCAACATGTTATTTCTGTTTTAACGATGAAGCAACTGAGGTGGTCTGATCAGTGTTTTGAAAGACTGTAAAACAGTTTTCATCAAATCACTGTGTTTTTCCCTTCCTATGTCATCTATAGGCTCTGTATATCTCTGGATTTATAGATGTGTGATAGGCAAAGTATTGTTTCCAGAACAATGTGTGTTTTGCTCCTATAAAAGGAATAGGTTTTGATGTTCTGTGGCAGTTAAGGAATTTTTCAGTAATCCAGTCTTCTTAGCTTTGATTTTTTTTGGCAGGTTCTGAGAACCATTTTAGTTGGCACTTTTCTCCCTAGAAGTTAGGACAGTGTCAAAAATAGTGCACAAGGTGAAAAGAGTGAGATCAGCCATTGAAAATGTTTATGGTGGAGGAACCTCTTGACTTCACACCTTAATATTGGTGATATGGGAAGTGTCTGTCTGAACCTCAAGGCCTTGGACTGCCATTTTGGGAGGCAAGGAGTTAGTTGGGGATGGAAAGACTGGAGTTTGTATTCTTTCTGCTCTGTTACCCATTGCTATCTTCATGGATCTGACACTCTGTTTATCTGACAGTGCACTCAGTACTGCTTCGCCAGGGAAAATTGCACAAAACAAGCCCAGTGCATCAGCATTTTCATTGTGTATTAAGCTGAGCCTCCCTTCACATGGTCACATCCCCTTTTTAATCTGGGATTCCATGTCCCTTTCCCAGTCCAGCCTGTTTCTGTGGTGTCTATTGCTGGTCTCCCTGAGCTTCTGTTTCTGTGGTTTGAGTGTTTTTTGTGTGGCTGAGTGTTAAGACCTGCAGGACTTTTGGAAGTGGTGTTGTTTGGGGGTTAGGCAATAAACTGATTTAGTGTTAGTAGTTTGTCACAAACTGAGGTGATGGCTGCGTTCAAGTTGGATTTCCTCCCAGAGATGATGGTGGACCATTGCTCCTTGAATGCTAGCCCTGTGTAAGTATTTTGTCTTCAAGTCTGAGTTTATAACTAAAGTGATAGTTGGAATTGCTGTCTCTGAAGCCTGTGCTGTCTGATGAGCTCCCCTTGGGGGGGGGAAAGGGGGGGAAGAGAGACAGGAGAGCCTGCAGTTTGTTTTCTTGAAGAAATCCTACTGGGCATTGACAATTGACATTGGATTCTGGATAGAGGGGGAAAAATGACCTGATAATTTTAGGGATGAGGGCTAAGGAGGAGTAAAGCTCTTTGGCTGTACTGTGTATAGTATGTTACAGGTACTGATATTATAAAATCAGTTATTTAAATCAATTGTTGGGAGAATAGTTTCTGTTCTTCCCTATTAATGACTCCAGACTAAACCTTTTAATTAGGAATGAAAGGTTTCTTGAATACGGCTGAGGTCATGTTAAGAGTTGCTCAGTTAACAGGAGCCGTGCTATGCTCTTGAAGCTACCCACGGCATAGAAGGCAGGGCTGAAAATTATGATTGGAAAGAGGGTAAATGATTTCCAGTTGTTCTCAACTGGACTGAAAAGAGGTAGTTTACCTCTTTGTAAAAGGTATTGTTTGCCTTGGCTATTTAGACAAGTGCTGACCCTTTCTGAGTGGAAAGGTAGAGAGGAGTGAAAGGATTTATGATTATTTCCTTCCCTTCTAGTAAGAAGCTTTGTTGTTTCTGAGGTCTGTTCATACAGCTATAAAATTATGAGCTTTCCCTGGCATCAGTTTTTTCCTTAGGTTCTGAACAGCAGCATATTGAGGGGAAAAAATAACTACACATCACCTGGTTTGGAATTTTTTTTTTTATTCTGTTCAGGGAGGAATGTGATTGCAGATGGACAGTGAGAGGAACATTGTTTGCTGTAACATGCAGTTAATAAGCTATTCAAAAACTATCTTCAAAGGAAAAAGCAGAGATGAAGAGAGCTGACTACTCTGGAAGAAAGTCACCTGTATTCTTCAATAAAGAGTTTGGGGGCGGGGGGAATCATTGTATAGTTACTATTCCACTCTCCATGCCCTTTCTAGATTATGCAGGGGTTGGTCAGCAATTTTAACCTACTAATCACTAGAGCTACAATAGGATGTTGTTACAGTCTTCCACAGAGATAGGTCTTGTGGTATACCAGGCTGTGACTACCGATAACAAGACCTCACATTGCACTTGGCAAACAATGAGGAGTCAATACAGAAAGCAGTGTATGACTGTCAGCTAGCTGGGTGGAGTATAACACGGTTTTATGAATAGGCTGTAAACTGCTTGTATGGCTAGATGTAATGCCTTGAAGCCTGTTGAAGATTCCCATTCTCAAAATTTCTGTGTTGTTGTAGTTTAAGTGACTTTTTTTTCTATGTTAACATGCTACCATTACTCAACTTGATTCAGTCTAACTACATTGCTCAATCCCAACCTGTTCATGTACAACCTAAGCCTGTTTTTTTGCCAAATATTGTTGAAAGTTCCTTAGTTTCACAAAGAGCTATTGCCCTGTAAACCTTTAATGAAGCTTCTCATCTGTTCAGTTGTACCTGTTTCTGTGTTTTAAGATGGATCTTCACCCTGGGAAGCACTTCCAGATAGTCACATTTAAAAACAACAGAAAAATGTTATCCTCTCATTTTCAGTCGTTACTGGTAACTTCAGTAGTCTGTGGGTAGACTGAGTTTAGGTTCCTTCCTGTTCTGGTGTCTTTTTCTGTAAAATCTTACATGGTTGAACTAGTAATATTTTTCAGTCATCTCAACAGATTTATGTCCTGAATCCCAGATGTTGACTACATTATAGGAACAAATGTTCAGAGAAGTTTTAAACAGCTGTGTAGAGTATTTGGTTTCCAAGTACACAGCTTGCCAATGAATGTGAATAGTGCTTCTGAATATTCTCTGGTATGCAGGACTGGGAATGTGCAAGAGTCTCTCTTTATATGTATATTTTAATCATATACACTTATATATGTGTAGAAATATTTTTTTTTTAATCTTGCTGTAAGCATGCTGCTTCTAGCTGCAATAGCATCCAGAATCTGTGGAAAGATATAAACTAGAAATTCTTTCGTGTTTTTCATAGCTCAAAGAAAATGAATGGCACACTGGATCACCCAGACCAACCTGATCTAGATGCTATCAAGATGTTTGTGGGTCAGGTCCCACGGAGCTGGTGTGAGAAGGATCTAAGAGAACTTTTTGAACAGTATGGTGCTGTCTATGAAATTAATGTCTTGAGGGACAGGAGCCAAAACCCTCCTCAAAGCAAAGGTGAGAACTTCTGTACTTCCCATGTGAGACTTGTTGTCTCAGCTGCTTTCACATAGTTAGAATCTTAACTGTTCGCTTTCTCAGACATCCCTGTGTGTTGGAGCTCTGTGTGACCAGGTGTGCATGCAAGCCCAGGCTTTACAGTCTTTAAGTGTATGTGTCTAATTGTACTTGGACTGTGATCCAGTCATTAGCTGAGCTGAGGAAATTCATAATTTTTTTTTAGAGCTCAGAAGTGATGGGGATGCTTGAAGAGTATAGATTATAAATGCAAAGCAGAACATCAAATTAATATTGTTTTGCTTCAGAGCATCATGGTGATGCTACGATAGGACCAAAACGTTGCTGGAAGAGTCACAGTTTCAGATAAAATATAAAACTGAGGTCTTAGTCGTTTGTGTACATCAGATACTTGTGTACATCAAATCCTAACTAAACGCTGTACCTGGATTTGCAGTTCAGTTATATGCAAGTTTTTGGTACTAGCAAATAATCATTGAATTTGATAATGGAATTTGGCAGATGTCCCTAAATGTTTGTTTTAATCGTGTACCGGTCATGTTGGATCAGTTCTTAATATATCCCATTTTATTACACTTAGAAATCTTTTAAACAGTCACAATCAGTAGAACCTGCCTATTTCAACATCTGACCTCTTCTACTTGTCATACATTTTGCATTGGAAGGGTAGAAGTGGGACTCACAGTTTCTGTACAGCCTGTCAAGATTCATAGTGTTCTTTCTTGGCTAGCATTTTGTTTCAATTGCAGGGTGCTGTTTTGTTACATTTTATACCCGTAAAGCTGCACTAGAAGCACAGAATGCTCTTCACAACATGAAGATCCTCCCAGGGGTAAGCAAAGAGACATGCTTTCTTCACAACTCTACCTTGTTTTTCTGAGCTCTGGCACCACTGATGTACAAACAGATGTTATTTTGCCCTCAAATAATGTTTTAAAAGAACTATTCAAAAGAGCAATGTAATGAGATTTGTATGATAACAGATCTTAAGGGAATTTTGGAGCATTTGGGAGAATAATATGGTAATGAAGTGGGTGGGCATGGCTTCTATAATACTCTCTGAGGAGGAATGATGGCATATCATTAGGAAAGCTTTTATTTCTTCTAGAAATTTATGTATTGTTACATACGCACTTCTGTAGAGGCAATTTAGGCTACCACTTCTTTATTCCACAGTTCTTGTGGGATGTATTTCATATAGTATAAAGTGAATGCATCTAGGATTAAATAATCTTTTTACATTTCAGATGCACCATCCTATCCAGATGAAACCAGCTGACAGTGAAAAGAGTAATGGTAAGCTTTACTAAAGTCTGAGTTTGGTGGCATCATTTGTGCTAATAGGGAAGCTTGAGAATTTTCCTTTTGTTGAACAGCTTCTGATGAAGTCGTCTTGAATCGGAGACCTGATTTTTTTTTTTTTTTTTTTAAAGAAAAATAGAAAAAGGTGTGTTTTCAATATAGTAGGAGGCGTAAGTGATGTCTCTAAAATTCCATGACTCAGTATCTCCCACTGCTGCTGCTTGTGGTAGAACCACATTGTCAGTTAGGGAAACATCCAGTGAGTTCTTCTTTGTACTAAGGTGGTTTAAATCTTTGTTGGGGACATGGACAGTGGGATTGAGTGCACCCTCAGCAAGTTTGCGGATGACACCAGGCTGAGTGCTGTAGTTGATACCCTAGAGGGAAGGGATGCCATCTGAAGGGACCTTGACAGGCTAGAGAGATGGGTCCATGCGAACCTCATGAAGTTCAACAAGGCCAACTGCAAGGTCTGGCACCTGGGTCGGGGCCATCCCAAACATGGACACAGGCTGGGCAATAAGTGGATTGAGAGCAGCCCTGTGGAGAAGGACTTGGGGGTATTGGTGGATGAAAAACTGAATATGAGGAGGCAATGTGTGCTTGCAGCCCAGAAAGCCCATTGTATCCTGGGCTGCATCAAAAGAAAGGCTAACAGGTTGAGGGAGGTGATTCTCTCACTCTACTCTGCTCTGCTCTCATAAGACCCCACCTGCAGTACTGTGTTCAGCTCTGGGGCCCCCAGCATAAGAAAGACATAGACCTGCTCAAGTGGGTCCAGAGGAGTGTCATGAAGATGATCAGGGGACTGGAGCACCTCCCTTAATGAGGACAGGCTGAGAGACTTCAGGTAGTTCAGCCTAGAGAAGGCTCAGGGAAGACCTTATAGCAGCCTTCCAGTAAAGAAGGCCTACAGGACAGACGGGGAGGGATTCTTTAACAGGCAGTGTAGTGACAGGACTAGGGATAATGGTTTTAAACTGAAAGAGGGTAGATTTAGGTTAGATATTGGGAAAAAATTCTTTCCTGTGAGTGTGGTGAGACACTGGAACAGGTTGCCCAGAGAGGAGGTGGATGCCCCCTCCCTGGAAGTGTTCAAGGCCAGGTTGGATGGAGCCTTGAGCAACCTGATGTGGTGGAAGGTTATCCCTGCCTATTGCAGGGGCTTGGAACTAGATGATCTTTAAGGTCTTTCCCAACCCAAACTATTCTATGAAATCCAGAAATGCTTTTTCAGGTGCTTGACCAATTTGAAGCAAAGCCTGTTGCAGCTAGGGTGGGAGTCAAAACTTCTTCTTGTAGTATATAAGGGAGACTGAGAATTCACAACAGTTCAGTAGAGAAAAAAATGTGAATATTTCTGCACATTGGCCGTTTCAGATGGATTAAGACATTTAGGATCTACCATTGGGTAGATGATGATTTAGCCATGTATTTCCATGGTGACTTTATGTATGTACATACATACATGCTCAGATGTGTGTGTCTATACATATTGCTGCAAGATAAGCAAAGAAAGTGTTTAGCATCTTGTAGTTTCAGCCTTTTTAGGCTTGGCTGAATTTTATTTTCTCCATTTGCCATAGTTACTATAAGATTAGCATTGCATCATGGAGAAGATAATCCTCGTTCCAGAAAGCTTACATCTTAAGATAATTGAAAACAGAAGATGGGATATACCAGTAACATACAGTGGGAGTAATTCCATCCAAAAATTCCTCCGTGTGTATATAGAATATGTTTCTGTGTAAATACATCTAGAAAGGAGTAACTCTTGAATATTGTTGGGAGGAGAACAGAATAGGTTCTCTAAACTAAAATTGATCTTGCATTGTACACACACACGAATATCCTGGGAAAATAATGGAAAGAGGAAAGAAGTATGTAATGGAATTTTAGGGTGACAGTTCTGAGGCTATTATATAATTATATGAGTTTTAGTAAAAGGTGTAGGTGAAAATATAGATAAGAAAGCATCAGTTTAAAAAGTATTTTAACTTGCCATTAATAAAAGGGATTCTGGATCTCTTGAACGAAAATGGACTGCAAAAAGGATTTGAAAGCAGCTTTCTGCTTTAAGAGCTTGAAAGTGAACTGGGTACAACCTTAAGATTTAATAGTCAGTTAGTCGTGTCAGCTGGAATAGTTTGGAATTTTCCTCTTCAACACCATAGAAGACTCAGCAAATAAATTGATTTCCCCTCACCATGGCACTAAATAGGAGAAGACTTTCTCTCTTGAAGCTTCAAATTGTGCTACAGCCTTCATCATATTATATTTTATATTGTGCTGAATGTTGGATTTGCAAACTGTTTTAAATTTCCAAATGGTATTCTGCATAATTTGCTTCATCCTTTAAAAGCAAGTATTTCAGAGGTGATTAGCATCCTTAAATAAGTAAAATGAGAAGTATAAAGTTCTGCTCTGTATTTGAATTTACCCCAGTCCCTTAAGTGACCTTAAACTGACATTAGTAACCACTAACTGAAAAGTTAAGAGAAATGCCTTTCTGGACCATTTATTTTAAAATAGTCTGCACACTGAAAGGTATTCTTCAACTCTAATGTATCTAGTAGCATCAGCATTTAGGAGCAAGATACAGTAACACACAGTCCATCGTTCTGATTCAAGGTGTTATTTTCGTGTTTTTGATACAGATCAGAATGGATGAATCTGAAACAGAACTAAAACTGTTCTGTTTTAGCAACTGCTGTTGCTTCCATTGTTGAGACAGGAGCATGGGGAAATGGGCAGATCTAAATTTATGTGATTGGCATGATAAAGAGCCTTTCTTGTTTAGATACAGATAGGTATGTTGGTAGTCTAAAGATAGAGGAGAGAGGATGAAAATAGTCCAATAAAATACATACAAGTCTTCCCTCACTTATCAGGAGCTGAACATAGGAGATACAGGGAAGTGCTGAATCTGATGTATTTTTCCCTTTTCTTACATTCTTGCAATTCACAGGCTTGCAAGCAAGAAACAGTCAGCAAAATGTAAACATAAAATATCATAAAACAGGCATTCTTCAGGTTCATTGAGGTATCTCCTATACATCCTCTTAAATTGAAGAGATTCCATTATTGGGAATCTGATTTTTGACAAGCCTCTACCCTAAATATAAGGGAAATAACGGCAGTTGATGGAGAAGACTTGACAAAGTAAGATCTAGTAACTGCATATTTGCTGGTAATACTGTTATCTTTTGATTTCTTAGCAGTAGAAGATAGGAAGTTGTTTATTGGAATGATATCCAAGAAGTGCAATGAAAATGATATCCGAGTGATGTTCTCCCCCTTTGGGCAGATTGAAGAATGCAGGATATTACGGGGCCCAGATGGCCTGAGCCGAGGTAAGCTTGATAGTTCAAGGTTCTCCACTGGATGCTGCCTTTTGCGACTCAAGGTAGCATTTCAGCTCTTTCTGTGATTCCTGCACCTGCCCAGGCATTTTAATTGTTTTATTCATCCCAATAATTGCAGCTGTAGTGAATTACTTGGTTCCTTTTTGTTCTTTCCCCAGGTTGTGCGTTTGTGACTTTTACAACAAGAGCCATGGCACAAACAGCAATCAAAGCAATGCACCAAGCACAAACCATGGAGGTAAAACAAGTTAGTGGGTGTCAGGAGAAGATGTAATTTGTCAGGCAGTCACTATGGAGTTTGGAGGACTAGAAAGCAGAGAGAAGGATAAGTGCAGTGTGTGTTTCTTCGCAAATGCTACTCCTGGACCTTTGTGTTTGTTCTGCTCCTATTTTTAGAGCTCAAGATAGAAACTTCATTTGCAGAGAAAATACCAAAATACAAAATAGTATTAAAAGCAAATGAGATGTTGAATCTTTAATGAATTGTTTGAATATATATACGTATGTATGCGGAGGGGGGGGAATGCTTCCAATGACTGGGTCTTAATGCAGTATTTTTGTGACTGCTGGGGATAGCAAGTATGTAATTGTTTGAATTGCTGTTTGCAGGGTTGCTCTTCCCCCATTGTGGTAAAATTTGCAGACACGCAGAAGGACAAAGAGCAGAAACGAATTGCTCAGCAACTCCAGCAACAAATGCAACAGATCAGTGCTGCCTCAGTATGGGGAAATCTGGCTGGTCTCAACACACTTGGACCCCAATACTTAGCAGTGAGTTTCTGATTTGGGTTCTTTTCGTCTCTTCAGGGATTACAGTGACTGTCTTCTAGTCTTTAATGTGTTCATTTTTAGAAGGCTCCTGATAGGTAGGAGCAGGGTTCTTAATCCCCATTTTGTGGATGAGGAGGCTGAAATTAAGTTATGTGCTAACAGCTAGTCAGGATACATTTAAGTGAGGATTTCAAGCCCAGTCACTGTATCCCTAACTACTGAAACTTTTTTCCCCTGGTCTTCTGTAGAATGACTTTGTGCTGGGAAGATTTTCTTCGTGTGTTATGGCCTCAGTGTTTACCCATATAAATGCCCTTTTCATGTCTATCTGATTACATAATTCTTGTATTCCTCTTCCATTTTTCCTTTTTCAGCCTTTATTTCTCTCATCCCCCTCCAGTGAAACCTAGAACAGTACTTGGTGCTGTCCAAACAGAAAAGGTGATCAGGTTGGAAGCACCAAGCAGCTGACAGTGCACAGTAAAAAAAAAAAAACCAAAAAACACCAGCAGCAACAAAAAAACCCTCACAGAAAATAGAGAAACCACTCTCTTTAGCAAAAATGACAGAACAGAAGGTAGTCTGCTGTTTTTCACTGATTTTAGTTGATTTTGCTGGGTCTCCAAAGGGTAAACTTTTCATAAGCTGATGTGCTCTGGCTCATATTGGTTGTCAGAGTAGCTATGAGAACTGTAGTCATGCAATACAAGGTCTGAGGAACAGAAAAGGAAAATTTCATCTCAGTCTTGGTATGGTTACTGTTGAAGTGGGGACATTCTTGCTTTTACTACCGCTTTAGGTTTGGTAGATAGGAGGGGTTTGTAACCTAGTTAATGGAGGTAGGAATAGGAAATCCCTCTAAATAGCTTCTGAGCTGAGGCTTGAAATTTCTTTCATGGCTGCTGTGCTTAAGGACAGCAGAGGGGGTTCCCTCTCATGGTGGCTCTTTGGTTTTGGTATGTCATCTGCCATTTGTCCTATGCTGGCAGCGTCAGCTGTGAAGTCTGGCTTGAAGTTGTATATCCTTAGGGGTAGCAATCCTGCCTGAGGTGCTTTGAGTAGGAGTTCCCTCACTACTGACTCTACTGTTTTTGTCTTGGTGTATTAGCTATAAACTTCCCTCAACATTGATTATGTTGAGTGAGGAAAGCATTTTGCTGTTGCTTTGCTGCAATGTGATGCATGGGCAATGTGGATTTTCACTACGGTGTGCTCTGGCTGTATTGTGTAAGGGGAATTCTCTTTACGCTTTGCTGTGATGTGGTGCATGGGCAGTGGGAATTCCCTTTGTGACGGCGCTCTGGCTGTGGTGTGATGCAGTTTCTCCCAGAAGCGGAGCCAGCCCTCACTCTCACTCTTGTTTTGTTTTTTGGTGTAATGTCTAGCTTTATTTGCAGCTCCTTCAGCAGACAGCAGCTGCGTCTTCTGGGAACCTGAACACATTGAGCAGCCTCCACCCAATGGGAGGTGAGTTTTTTTTCCACCAGAAGACAAATTCAGTGCCAAAGAAAAGAGGAGGAGGGTAGAGAAAGTAGCCAAAAGGCTGTAGACACGTTTACCTCATTTGAAATAAGTAGTCCTGAGTTTACCCACTCCTTTGGAATGACAGGAATCCTCTGCCACAAGTGTGGATGTTCCTTCTTAATCTTAGTTAACTATTGTCCCCAAGGTAAGTTGTGGTATGATGGTAATCTCCCCTGCCTCTGGCATTTAAAATTATCTTCCCTTATGGGTACAAAAAGATGTCTCTGTGTGTTTGTTTTTATCTAAACAGGTGCTACATGAAGCATTGTGTTTTGAAGTAAGCACTAATGCATGTTTCAGTGATAATGGATTCTTAGGTTTCCCATTTTAAATTCTGTGTTCTTAAATACATGAAAGTTGAAAAATGCAATGTTGGTAGGAATGTGAACTAGTCCTTCATTCAGGTTCTTTAATTCCTTCGTTTGAATTACAATTGATTACGTCATTGCTGTTAGGGAAATATCAGCTTAATAGGTATGAGCCAGCTTCCTTGCTGTGGACTGCTAGTCAGAATATTCACTAAGTATAGCAGTACTGGGACTGCAAATTGATTGTCCCTTCTGTCTTCACAGGGTAGGGAATAATAAAACACGTTAGTAACTCCATTCACCACATTGTCTAAATTCTTCTGCTGGCAGGAAAACTATAGTTTTGGTTTTAATACTGAACATTTTAAGCATTAAAATTGCCTCTTGGGGTTGTATGGTAGTTCACAATATTACATGCCCTGTCTGTGCAGAGGTTGATCTAAAAGTGTTACGAAAGTACAGTGTCTTTGTACATTTGACTTTTGTTGGTACCCCCATCAGTAACAATTACAAGCTTTTGCAAAGTGTTATGTTTTCAACTGTAAGAACTTTGATTTATACTTGAGGTTGATTCTAACCTCAGCTTCTTATGTTTACTTTTTTCATATTAGACCTCTTCAGAGCTCTTGGATCTAAGACTCTTGCCAAAAGCAATTTTTTAAAACAGTTTCACTAACATCCTGTGTGGTGGTGATTGATAACAGATTTCGTTACGTGCACAGTACTGTTTTTTTCCCCCTCTTTGTGTCTGTTTAAAAGCAAGTGGTAATAAAGGAGAAAAACAGTACTGCAGTTCATGTTAATTAGTACTACAATAAGGATTGGGGTGGGGAAGGGACTAACTAGCTGAGATTGCCTATGAAGTTTCCGGGGTAATTCTGTCTTCACTATTTAAAAAAAAAAACCACCCTAAAAATTGAGAACTCAGACGTATAACTAGCATGTTGCATGGTGTTTTGAAAGAATTATTCCAAGTCTGTGATTCTTCACAGAAAGAGTTTTAGTTTCAAAGTCCTGTTAATATTTCAGCTGATCTCCTTTCTCGAAATTCATAGAAAGAAAAATTAAGTAGGTAATTACATCCCAAATTATATCAGACTTTGTATACAAAATTTAATCTTGACGCTGTTTGAAAACAGATGGGAAAACAATGTGATGACAAGAGGACAGGTGCAGTGCGCACATGCCAAACTGCTTCAGAAAGGAAGCAAGCTGCTCTGTTCTTCACTAGCTCTAACACTTGCACTTTTAACCCTCTGTAGCACAATAAAAACAAAACCATATAACTTTTTGGTTTTAACTTCATGCTTTTGTGTTACAGTGGCACCTTGAGAGTCTAAAGGCAGAATCCTCTTCTTTCAGGCACTAAATGTGGCTAGGGAAACCCTGTCACAAAAAGAAAACAGTTGAAAAAGATAAAAAACCCAAAACAAACTATGCTAAAGGTAGTATAAGTTTTTTAGAAAATAAATAGTTTATACTATGTTGTCACTTACATTCCTATGTTGTCTGTTTACATACTTGAATTACAAAACTGAGATTTTTAATTATTTGAGATGTGTGCTTTGTCACCAAGCACTTACTAAGCATCCAAAAGATGAGGTGCCACATCCGCCTAGGACGTTGTGATGTTGTTATATGAATGGTGATTAATTTAATTTTGGTTTTAATTTTGTAGGGAAGAATTACTAGGGATTGTCTGAAGTCAGATGAAAAGAGGAGGAATTGTTAGAATAAGCAAAGGTAGAGACAAAAAAGGGAAATAAGGGAAAAGGGAAGAGAGGCAGAATTGGAAGAATGGAGCTAGCCTACTGAAGGATGGCTAAAATACAGAATTCAGAGTAATTCCATGGCAGGAAAAGAAGGCCAACTACAGTGTCAGTACTGACCGAATGGTTTCATTCAAAAATTATGACTCAAAATTAAGGTGAGTCAGATGAGTAAATTGATCATTAAAAGTTCATCAGTGCAGGGATACCTTCTTCCACCTGCAGTATTCCTGGCTGCTTACCTACAACATGCCTGATGCTTCTCATTTTTCTTACCACTTTTGACCAGCTGACTAGCCTACGTGTACATTGGCTGATCTTGTGGTCAGGAGTTGCCACTTAACATTATTTCACAATTGACTGTTGCTTCTTGGCTGTCAAGTGGACCAAACAAAACATGCTGGTATTCAGCTGGTGGTGGGTTGAAGGTGTGACTTTGTGGCCACTGTGGTGTGTAGGCCTTCTTGAAAGAATTCTGCAGTTATTGCTGTGCCCATACAAAGAGAGTGGAGGGACACGAGAAGAGGAGGTTATTGGCCTGGTGTCTAGACACGTTCTCTAGCTTGCAGATGAGCTGTCAGACCCTGGCTTTACTCTCTTATAGCTGCTATGCTTTTGTGACTGGAGAGAACACTGCTTGAAAATTTCTGTACTCTGGAGTCTATATCTGCGATCATGACTACCTGGTCTTTTATCAAAATTCATCTATCTGAGCAAAGAAAAACTTTTTTTTTTTTTTTGTTATAACAAGGGATCGCAATGTAGAAAAGATCAGTAACTAGTATTAAGCCAGTTGTTTTTAAGCGCCTTTCCATTACTCCTTTGTGATGCACTGAGGTTGCTGGATCTGTTAAGCTTGGATGATGGTGACTCTTGTAGGAGAAACTGTGCATTCTTCAATGTGTTGCAGGACTGAATGCGATGCAATTACAGAACCTGGCCGCATTAGCAGCTGCGGCCAGTGCAGCTCAGAATACACCAAGTGGTACCGCTGCACTCACTTCCTCCAGCAGTCCCCTGAGTGTTCTCACCAGCTCAGGTAAGAGACTGCTTATGTTGTAGTGTGTTCTGACGTGGATTGCCTTAAGAGTCCTTTCACAGTAGATGTCACCTGTTTTGTCTATCGCTTTTTGTCACTTTCATGTTGATTCTTTAGTAGATAAGCAGTTTTACTAGTAGATTCACTGGCCTTTGTTTAGGGTAGGTATCTTTGCCACCAGCAAAGGCTTTTTTTTACCTGCTGTGTTCCTTCCTCCAAATGGTCAGATTGATTTAGAGTAAAAAGAATTTTTGAAGCCATCATGAAGCAGAAAGGTAGGTGACCTCTGTCCAGTCACATTATTACAATCTCATCACATATTTGGTTTATGTGTGACTTTAGGCAGATACTGTGGCAGATATGTGCTGTTCCTTTGGACATGGAGAGAGAGGATGCCTTAAGCATGAAGTAATGCATTCTGTGCACTAGAACAGTACAGTTTATATTCCTCTGGCATTAATGAAGACAAGGATACTACAACAACCTCACAGAAGTAGAATAAACAGACCCTTAGCACATTTATTGGAAAGCAGTTGTCTGGAACTAAGTGTATGAGGTAGTTTTATTTTTGTTGGGGGTTTTGGGGGGTAGGTTTTTTTTGTTTGTTTTGGGTTTTGGGCGTTTGGTTTTTTTTTTTTTTTACTTTAGGTTATGTACGTTATCCAGAGAGGCTAGAATGTCCAAGTAGTGTTCTTTTGCTGCCTTATTGTTAAATGTGATCATTAAATGCAACAAATAAATGTGATCATTAAATGCAACAAACAAGAAAACAAAAATTAAATTAAATTGTGCTTATATCAGACATGCTCAGTTTTTACCACAAATGAGGATCAGTATCCTGCTCAGTTACTTCTATCCTATTTTCAGTTATTTCTAAATCCTGACAAGGGAAGGGAGACCCTGTATTTTCAGGGTGTCAATTTTCCAGTATTTACACTGTGGTATGTGGGTTTGGTTTTGGTTTTGTTTTGTTTTTTTATCATAAAAAGCCAAATTGCTTATCCAGTTTTGAAATCAGAGTTGACATCCTCACCTGCGATTGTGAGAGACTGAAGGGGGTTGGGGTGCGTTTTAAATTTCCACAGGTAGCTTTTCATATTGCATAGGAGGACCAAGGAGCTGGACTAAGAGATTATAAAGAGATTACAAGGAAGAGCTGTTTAGAAAACCTTATGTCACATGATCAGGAGTTAAACCTTGGGTGCTTTGCACAGTTTTCTACTTAGAGAAATCCCCAAGAAAGAATTCAGTTCAAAGAGTGTTCTGTTGCTGGACAGGATTTTTTTTTTTACATAAAAATGTTGTGGTCTGCAATCCTTAAAGATTAAAACTTCAAAATTTATCTTGACTCCCAGCTATTGTATCCTATTCAATAATTAAAAAAAAACCACAAAGATTTGAGGCTATAGGAGAGGTGCATTTATAACCCACGAATGCTTCTTTATCACAGAGAAAGCATGAAGGTGATGAATATATCTGAGAACTTCTCCCGTATTTCCTCATGCAGTAGCAGAACTTGAATTGTCAGGTTACAGTTTGCTATCACCAGCATTTAGAACTAAGATTTCTTTGTTGGCTCTCTCGACTACTGACTGGAGCAAGTTTGTTCTCTGAATTGTTGAGGTGGGAAAAGGGACTGGCAGGTTGTGAAGTTCTAATGCCAGATGTGCTAAAAAAGGCAGAGACAGCCTCTTCTCAGAAGTGTACAGTGAAAGAACAAGGGCAATGGGCGCAAGCTGCAACAGAGAAAATTTTGACTGGATATAAAAGAAAAAATAAAATCAATGATGAGAGTGATTAAGCTCAGGAACTAGGTGCCAGAGGGGCTGTGGAATCTCCATCACTTCAGAGGTTCAGAATGCAATTGGAAAGGACCCTCAGCAGGCTGACCGAACTCAGAGGTTAGACCAGCTCAGAGCAGACCGTTAGACTAGGTGATCCACAAAGGTCCCTTTCAGCTGAAGTTATGCTACTATTGTGTGATTCTTTGTGATTGGTTTCCCCTCCATGAATTGTGGTTGTTCTGCAGCACTTTGCAGGTTCCTTTTCCCTTGATAAGAGGCATATCTCAAGACTCAGTTCTACTTTTGATCATGCTGGTGGAGGGGCTAGGGTGTGGGGAGCAGTCCATTTTTAAGTGCCTTCTGTGCTGAATCCAAACAACTTTCTGATCGCCAGTTGTATCAATAAATGATTGTGTGTCAACAGTCAAGTAATCATGTTGGGTCATTTGAATTAATATCCTATACAGATGTATCAGTCAGTTCACTCTTCACAGGCTTGTAACATGAAGCAGTCAGTGTTGTATTGCTCTTTAAACTTAATTTCAAGTATAATTTTAAAGAGTAGAGATTAACTTTGTTCAAAAGAAATGAAAAGTTCTGGAGGATATGTGGTCTATACGTAGTCACTGACATCAAACTCTGAAACGGTTTCAGTGCTTTTCATTAGAGGTATGAATATGCTTCACCTTTTAAAACTGTACTTAAATTGGAGGAAGGGTAGGCCTCAATGTGTACAGGCAGCATTCAGTTTTAACTCTACTCTAAACTAGCTATTATCTCTTATATAAGTAAACTTGAAATTGTCTTTTGATTAATATTTATATATGCATTCACACTGTATGTATTCACATAAAAGGCTGTTGGACTTCACACATTCAGAGCATCCCTCCTGAACCATACCTCAAGCTTGAAAAACCTCAGTATATAGCTGTTCAGTACCATGTGTTAGTAAACGCCTTCCTTGGCTGTGGGACATATGGCAACATCTACTGTGATAACCTCTTAAACCTAACTGCAGATGAGATGACTACCGGCTTGACTTCTATCCATCTGTCATCCAAATGTTCACCTGATGCTTATTTAGACGTCTCTCCCAGATTGTCCTCAAATTGCATAATTGGTGGAAAAATCCAGACAAATCATTATGCATAGTTACCTTTTTGATTTTCATTCATCTGCACTGATATCTTTTGTGTTTGGGAACTTGGAAGTCCACACAGTTCGGTCTGTGGACCATACATAGGTTACATGTCAGAATGGTTGAACTCAGAGGTGTTAGGTACTGTCGTTGTGCTGGTTATGCTGTCTTCCTACTCATTTCAGGTGATTTTGTTTTAGATATTTCCAAGCAGTATTGTGTATTTTGATGTAGAATAAGATGGAACAAAACCTTCAACTTTGCAATAAAGCAGCTACTCTTTGGAACTGAACGGACTGCTGCTGCATCCACCTATAGGTAATCCATGTTACAGAGACTGTGCCCATAGATAGACTCATTTAAACTGCTAGCGTGTGAAAGGGACATTCAAGAAAATATTATAGAAGTATTTCAGGATTGGAGTGTCTTGTCTGCCATCTTTTCAACTTGGACATCAGTAGGAATTGTCTGCTCCAGAGCAAAATAGAATGGTTGCAAAAGCTGATGTATGTTTCCACTTCTCCTCCTTTCAAAGGCAATCATCAAAGGTCCAGCAAAGACTAGGTGACTTTGCTGGCCTTACTGTGTCTCCAGCAATATTGTTTTCAGAGACATCATAGTCTTTGTGCTTTTACTGGAACTAATTCTGGTACAGTTCAGTCAGATTCATTGTCTGAATTTTAGTGCTCTTTAGCTCATTGCTTGAATACTAGATGACTGAATTAGAACAGACTTACTGTTCCCTCAATTTACCTACCTCTGTAAGTTGGTAGTTGATGTCCTTGTCCAAGTTTTGTTATCTTTCTTATCTATTCTTTACAACATATTCAAATTTTCTGAAAACCTTTTCAGGTATTTTCAACTAGTTCTCTTAGAGTTAGCCTTTTTGACTAGATATAACTCAGTAGATGGATCTAAGGAAACATAACCTCATTAGTAAGAAAAAAAAACCAAACAAACCAAAAAAAAAAACCCAAAAAAAACCCAAAAAAACCAGAAAAACCACCACCCACCAAAAACTGCAAAGAAACAGCATTAAGAATTGGGGATGGAGTAAAGAACATGTATAAAGCTATATTGGTTTTCCATCCCCGTTACTGTGTGGTGGTTTTTGATCTAAAATAGTACACAAAAACCAGAAGAACAGAAAGGGTGGCTAGAACTGTGGAATGCCTTCCGTGTTAAGAGCAACAAAGGAGCCTGAAAAATGGAAGACCGACATGGGAGGAGGATGTGATTGAAGCCTACAAATACGTTAGTGTTGTGATGAAGATGAATAGGGACAGACTAGTCGTTAGATATTTCAAGACAAGAATTACAGGATATCAGGTGAAGTTGTCAGTTGACAGTTCAAAGATAAAAAGACCTATTTCTTTGCATAGTGCATGATGAAATTGCAGAACTTGTGCCTTAGAACATAGTAGAGTCAAACAATTGGGTGTTCAAAATGCACTGAAATTAATGAAAAGTACTTTTAATACAAAGACATTGCCCTTGGCTGAAAATATCCTAGATTTGCAAATTGCTGTATTGGTACGTAGACTATACCTAGGAAGTATGCCTTTGTAATTGCCCTGTATTTCTGCTCTACTGGTGTTTATCTGCCTTTAGTCATCATCAGAAATGGGGTGCTGACTCAGTACAGCAATTCCTATATACGTGATAAAAAAATAAACCGAACAGTGTTAAATTTTCTTGGGTGTTTTCAGTACTAAAGCATTTCTTGTTTTGCTTAAAGAGATTTCTGATAAAGTCAGCTAAATTAAAATAACTGTGTTCAGCTTTTTGTAGTGGTTTAAATTAATTTATTTAAAATCACAACCTTTTTAAAGTAGGGAAGGCATCTGTTCTCTCTTACTTTGCTCTCTAGCCTTGGCTTTGTTCCTTTTTTCCCATTCCACTACTATTTTATTGTAGTTTTGTGTTGTTTGGTTGTTGGTTTGTTTTTTTTTAAATGGTATTCTTATCTGTCAAATGTGTCTGATTTATGCAAATTAGTAATGAAGTATTACAGAAACAAGTGATACTCTAGAATTGAGGCAGCTGTATCATTTTTGAACACTGGCTTTTATTCAGCCAGCTGTGCTGGGTTTTTTTTCTACCAACTTGAGGGTTATACTGTAACTTCTTCTCTGTTTTTTCCAACATTTAATATGCCACTGATAGTAAGACAGGAAGTTTCTCCTTTTCTTCGGAGTAAGCATCTTAAAATAAAGTTTGGGACATTTGTTTTCCAATTTCTGACTTAAGAGAGTTTGTCTAGAACTTTTCCTAGAGGAGGTTTATCATTTCCTCTGTCAGTACAAAAACTAAACAGCGATACGGGTTGCAGCTCCCTGGGTTCTCATGCAGCTTTTGTTAGAACAACTACTTTTGTTAGATACAGCTTTTGCTGGGGCTTGTTAGGCAAGTTTGCTGTATTTCATTTAAATAGTTATCATATTCCGCTCCAGCAGAGACTTTGTGTCACATATATGAAGTGGTGAATATATAGTGTGTGTGAATCTGCTTGAAAGTTGCCAACAATTCTTTTGAAAGTTTTAATGGATGTACACAGCATAACTGAGAATCACAAAAACACAAAGGAAAGTGAAAATGCCTGAATTTCAGTTCTGTTACCCACTTGGTCAGACAGATAAATTCCTCTTGAAAGCAGACTACAAGACACCTCTACAGCACCAGTCTTCAGTATCTTTTAATTTGTAAAAGCCATTAATATTTTCCAGTGCATCTTGCACAGTAAATTTAAACTTCTGGGTTAATAGCAATATGCATAGCTTTTCTTACTTTGTTCAGATTTCTAAGTAGTCCACAAACCTGTTAGGAAAACCACTGCTATATAATCGTAAAAATACTATTCTTTTCTTATTTTATCATGTCCATAATCTTTGTAGATTACCTTAATTTGAACTTGTGTTTCTTTTGATACACCAGCTTGGCAACCTTTTTTCTTGTGGTTTTGATGTCTATTTCTGTAGAACTAACTCTACCAGCTGTAGAATTTTGTAGGCCATGTAAGCTGTTAGTCTGCTAGGTACTGTATCTGTAGACTTCTCTTACTGAGTAAACGTGGTTGAAGATGTTAGTGGCACAGTCAACAGAGGATAGACTATGTATTTTGGATGTACATTCCAAGACTTTTCTTGGCCATAGCCCCAGCTGCTGCAGCAGGCTTTTTAATGGAAAAATTACTTCAAGTGTCAGAATAATCTGGCCATCTGCTGCTCCTGTTCTGGCAGCATGGGAAAACCGTATGTTCTGTTTGACCAGAGCTTGCTTTAGTGTCCCTAGTATCTGTATTTCAGGTCTTTTTCACCTTGTGTGATGTTTCAAGGATAGATGTTAATATGTAGCAAGTGATTCTTACTCACTTCAGTCAGCAGGAAAGGGGCATTGCTGCTGGTCACCTTATGTTGAGGTAGGAAGTTCAGCTACCATTCGTATATTGTCCGAATCTTAGGTGTCTTAATGAAGTTATTATTGCTACAAAGAGTTGACATTATGATGAAGTAGAAATTTTTCAAAAATTTAGGAAGGGATTAGAAGATATAAGCAGTATGACCAATCGAGTTGTGTGGGTTTGGGATTTTTTTTTTTTTTTTTACAAAAAGTATACTGTGTTGCCTTGATCTGTTCCTTACTAGCTTTTTCTACAGAAATAACTTAATGAAGAAGTTGAATTATCAGGACCAAAAAATATTGCTTGTTAATTATCTTATTTTAATAGCAGGTTCCTCACCTAGTTCCAGTAGCAGCAGCTCCGTTAATCCAATGGCTTCTCTTGGAGCATTGCAGACACTGGCAGGGGCTACAGCAGGCCTCAACGTTAGCTCTTTAGCAGGTAAGCTATGTGTTGTGGTGGGTTGGGAGAATAGCTGATTATCATTCCTCAGACTGTGCTAGTTCTGTGGGGGTTTTTCTCTGCTCCCTGCTTTTTGTAATAGTGCAGGGTGTTTGAAAGGTAATTGATCTGGCTCAGTGGAGGTATTCAGTCATCTTTATTTCCTCTTTCTTATATAGGAATGGCAGCCTTAAATGGAGGACTTGGCAGTGGTGGTCTCTCAAATGGGACAGGTAGCACAATGGAAGCTCTTACGCAAGCTTATTCTGGAATCCAGCAATATGCTGCTGCTGCATTGCCCACGCTCTATAACCAGAGTCTCTTAACACAGCAGAGTATTGGTGCAGCAGGAAGTCAAAAAGAAGGTAGGCAGAAAGTTGTAGAAACAACTTGAGAGGGGTTTTCAAAAGGACAGTCTCAGCCCTTGAAGGTACCTTATCTGCAGAGCTTTTATTTGGCAGCATTTTTTAGAATCTGAAGATAAAGAAGGAAAACCTGTGAGGTCTCTCTGTTAAGGGCTGTCCGAAGTAGTTTTTACATCAGGAGGCTTCTCCCAGGATTTGTCTAGTCTTAAATGCTTAGTAATTGTACTCTTCTGTTTTCTCAGAGGACAGGAGAGTATGAGTCTGCAGCCTGATACATCCCACTGTCAGAGAATCAGTTGTGTTTTTAATTTTGTTTTCTTGGTCCTTCACCTCTTCCCATAGATACTTAATGCCAGTCTCTTCAATCTTCAGATTCAGAATCAATGTAACATGTAGTGTAAAGTAATGAAGAACACAGGAGTAAGTTTTCAGCAGAATGTAGGATGATGTTTAGAAAAGAATTTGTCAGATTCCAAGTAATGTAATTACTTGTATTTTGTATTGAGATTTCCTTAGTTTCTTTGGGCTGCAAGCTTTGCGTAGCCATTTTTTATTTAGTCAGCATCTAGATCTCAAACTTACCGTTCAGCTTTCATTACAGCAAAGATCTGTGAACCAGTTTTGGCACAATGTGGAAATTACAAGCAAAAATGGTGAGAAAGAGCTAGAATTATTTGAATGATCAATCCTAGCAAAGGGTCATGCTGATTTATTCTGGAATCAAGTTCTCTGCAGAAGTGCAAACAGCAGTTTCATTGTTTTATCTAGAAAATTTGGCTTGAATGGCTCTTTCACCTTTTTTTGTGAAGTGGGCCTATGTTATCCGTGCTCTTCCTGAATTTGTATTCCTACTTGTTGTTTGAAGGTCCAGAGGGAGCCAATCTGTTTATCTACCATCTCCCCCAGGAGTTTGGGGATCAGGATCTGCTGCAGATGTTCATGCCATTTGGAAATGTTGTCTCTGCCAAGGTTTTCATTGACAAGCAGACCAATCTAAGCAAGTGTTTTGGTATGTTGGGTCTAATCATTACCTGTAGAAAGGTGGCTTCTTTCTCGTAATCTCTTTTCCAGTATATTGTCTAGTCTAGCTTTTAAGTCAAGTAGTGTCTCTTTCTCTATATTCCTAAAAAATAAATAAATCAGTCCAAACTTTTCCAGCAATGAACTGTATTTTCCTGATTTTCATTGTGACTTTTTGCTTTTCCTGATTTTGTACTGTTTTGGCCCTAGATAATTTACCATGATTTGTGTTTGCAGACTGTAATCGTGGTATAGTTCCTCCTCTTCGCCCTTTCTTTCTTTTCACTAATTGTCTCTGTTGCTGTATGTACTACTTACTACATTATCATTATGAATCATTTCCATTAATATTTTTATATATAATTATTATGGCTACCATATAGTACAGGAGCATTTGATGTTCTGTAATGCTCTGAAGGCAATTTTTAAAGCTTCCTCCTAATTCTTGAAAGCTTAGTAAGACCATTTCAGCTGCTATTTACTACCTAACTTTACATCTCTTATACTTATTTTGCTTTGCTTATTGTGTGTTTAAATGGGAGGCACATCAGGATGGGAAGTGTATCCTAAAACTGTAAATCAACCTGTCATGCTACTGTTACTATCCAAATAGATTATTGTCAGTTAACTGCTAAAGTCCGTGATGCCAAAAGAGCAAAGAAGGTATTCTTTCTTAGCTTGTTTAGTAGGAGGCTGCACATGTGGACTGAAAGATTTGTGGGTTTATTTTCCTCACTTTGAAACCCCAGTGCAAGCAGTTGTAGCATTTTTGTAGTGCTGTAAGCTCTCGTGACTATTTTGATAGAGGGAGATTTCTTGTGATGGAATAGGAGAGGTGAGCCTTTCTCTGTGGTTTTGATAGCTTTGTGCCTACATAGTATCCTGTGGTTTTTTTAGTATTTGAGACAAAAGATATGGACAATCTGATGCTTTGTGAGAACACAAAAATATGCTGAGCATCAGGCTGTAACACCTGTATATGGAATGATCTCCCCAGGTAGTGATGCCAGCCATTGACTGGAGTTATTTAAAATGGGTTCCTTTAAAACCCTGGAGAAGTTTATATGGGGGATGCCCTTTCCCTGGAATGCTCTTTCATCTGAGAGAAACCCAAACATAATAGTGGTACAAGCACCACGCTGTATTGACAGCTACTTCACTCCAAACAAATCTATTCCCATAATGCCAAGAGGGTGATTTCAGTCTTGTATCTTTAAAGAGCTTTCATATATAGATTAACATTTTCCAGGTTTGGTGTTCTCCCAGGTATGAGTTCTTATAAAACAAACAGCGGTACTCATTTTTGTTGGAAGTCTAGAAAATGTTATTTTAATTTCCTGAGCTTTGTATATCTTTTGGCCAAAGTTCCATATGTCAGAAAGCAATGCTTTGTCTGAGAGCCCTAGTTTTTATGAAGAGTCTAAAACAGTTGTGAGCTTCTGAAAATGGCATTTCATGCAAGCCTCTCTTACCTTGTGAGTACCTGTATTTCCAGTTGTGAGTAGCTGTTCTGGACAGCTTTGGCATGGTATAATTATGTATTTTCCTTTCTTCAGGTTTTGTAAGTTATGACAATCCTGTCTCTGCACAGGCTGCCATTCAGTCAATGAACGGCTTTCAGATTGGCATGAAGCGTCTGAAAGTACAGCTCAAGCGCTCTAAGAATGACAGCAAGCCATACTGAGCGCCCCTCCCCTCCGGGACTGGAGTGAGAAGGATCTTCTGGTAAGTTGGAGAGGAGCGCTCTTAGTGATTCGAAGCCCTAAGGCTGTGTTTTTACAGTCCTGGAAGCTGATCCATGCCTTCTATCTGGCACATCTTCCCCCTGAAGACTCGGCTGCAGCCTCTGCTGAGAATCCCGCTTCGGATGGAGGACAAGTTTGTGCTTTTGTTTCCAGTGTTTTACTTTGGAGTTTAGGTGCCATATCGCTGAGGTTTTGTTTTGTTTTTTTTTTTCCTCCCTTATTTGAAGTTTGCTGTGTTTGTAACCAGTGTGTGTTGAGAAGGACCAATGCCAGCTCCTTGGGGGTGGGGAGGAAAGGTTAAAGGGAGCAGCAGAAACTGACACCACACTGCCTTGAGGTGGAGAGGAGAAGGGGAAGCAGAAATAACACAGAACAGCTGATCAAAACAAAGATCAGGAAGGAGAACTGAGTCCATCCAAGTTTGGGTGAGCAAAGAACCGACTCCATGTAGCCTTTGTCATGCCCCTTCCACTCTTTGAAATTTCCTTAACTGTATGCCATGGTGGGGATTTAGTAAATCATCTCTAAAGCAGGAGACAGGCTAGAAGGGTGAATACATTAACAAGCCGAAGGAAAACTGCAGTGATTTTTTTTTTTTTTTGCTGTATATACAGTAGTGTTCGTGTAGCACTGTGAATGTACACAGCACTTTATAAAATTACTACATAATGTCCCTCCCCAAAAATTTCACTGTCCGTTTACAGTTGAATTTTAATGAGATGCAGTGAATTTCTCCATATTTAAGAAAACTTACCGTATGTACTTTATCTAGGTGTTGTAGAAAGGTAGAGAGAGAGATAGCTTAGTCTGGATGAATACATCTGGGGCTGGAAACCAGAAATTTTTGATCCCTGGTAATCTGCAGAATTTTTTTGACAATTTTTCTTAACAGTTCATCACATTCCCCACTTCTGTGGGATAATGTCCTTTTTGCAGAGTATTATTTGAATTCATTCTGATAAGCATAATGTAAGTGCTGTTCATTTCTCTATTAAATGACTGTTAAATTGAGATACAAAGCCCAGAACTACCCTAACACAGCTCTTGAGGCTTCTGTTTCATACCTGTTCTCCTGGGATTTGATTTCTTAGTCTCAACTCTGTTGCAAAGATAACTTCCTGGGTTTTTAAAAAAAAAAAAAAAAAAAAAAAAAACACACCCCACCCTCCTGCCAAAAAAACCCCCCCACCAAAACAATTTGTGCAGTGATTTGGTCTAGTACTTAGGTATTTCTTTGTACTGCAGTTTTCCTTTAAGGTGGTGTGTACCAGTGCAAAACAGGCTAACACAGGAGCTGTGGAGCCACAGCAGAGCATTGAGCCATTCAGTCTTACTCTGCCTTTTGGTACTAGCTGTTGTCTTCTATATTGAAGGAAAATTGAATACACCCCTTCAATGAACACACGCTTTTTCTGCACACTTGTGAAATTGCTAATGCGTTGCTAAGGGCCTTTGTTACACACTGGTTTTAGGGGGCTCAAAGGACTTTTGACACTCTGGCCTGAGTTGTTTTAAGAAATCAGAGTCGAGTCCCGTTTTATAACCACCAAAATCCACCTCTGTCACGAGGAAGTTTACAATTTCTGTGTGTCTTTAACAGAAGTTCCATTTACCTCATATTTTCTCCTTTTCCTTGTTTTCTTTGTATTCCTGGTTCGAGATGCTGTTTCCCAGGGCACCAGCTAACACCACAATCTGGGAGCCAGCTGCTTAACGATGAACGTGTGGGTCAGATGTAGGGTTGGGACGTCCTGTCCTGCTCCAGCAGGAGGAGCACTAAACCCATCAAACCTGAGATCACCTTTAGAATCCGCACGCAGTGGTCTGTTGGGAATGTCGGGCATTCCCAGGGACTGGGTCCCCTGGGATCTCAAACCTCAGAAGTAGAAGGCCTGACCCGTAGCATCCAAGAAGAGCCCTTTCCATTCTTAAATTGAAAATCAAACAGTTGATGCCGGTCTGTCTATATTGATGGCAGACAGGTAAATCTATCAGTATTATTCAAATCATTTTGTGGTGGCAAAGGTTCAAAGGCCAGATTGCCAAATTTCCCAGTTATGCTGGCATGTGGTACCCTTCTGTGTTAATTATTTGAATCTCTCTAGAAACGTAAACAAACACTTAAGTGAACCATGTACACTTGAATTCTGCACGATGGGAAAGATGTGTCCTGGTTTTCTGAGAAAAGAGTGTTGGAGTGTGAAGGCCTCCAGGGTGATAATGGGATTTTTTTTTTAAATAAATAATATACTTTTCAAAAAAAAGAAAAAAAAAAAAGAAAAAAAAAAAACCATAGTTGGGAGCAACTGCTCCGAGTGCAACCTGCTGTAACCAAGAATGTTGTTTCTATTTTTATAGAAGTTTTATACCGCTCCGGGGTGGAGAATATTTATTACCTAAATTATTTCACTGGAAAAAAAGGCCAGGGTTTTGTAGAATCCTGAATGTGATTGTTTTACACACATAATGATGTGCATGATTGAAACTACTGATTTTCAGTGGCCTGTTTGCAGCCCAGCAACTGCTAAATGGGGAAGACAAACGCTGTGAACCAGTGGAGGAGAGCACTGTGCTCTGGGGTCTCTACAGTCACTCTTACCGTCTTTGCACCCTACCCCACTGTACTATCTGAGACCTTTGTCCCGTTTTTCATTTAACCAGATGCTCCGGCCTCTTTACTAGTCATTCAGTTGCCCAAAATTAGATATTATTGCTTCTGCATCCTACAGTGTGTCTTCAATACTGTAACTTATGCATCAAGCTTGGCATTGTTGCAAATAGGTGCAACTCCTATTGACTTCAGGAGATTCACCAGTTTACACTGTGGCTTAGTTTGATCAGTGACTCCTCCCAGACAGGATCACCTTAAGACACCTTACTTGGGCTAGCTCCTGTGCCTTACTGGCATAACTATAAGTATTGCCAAAAAGAAAAAAAAAAAAAAACCAAACAACTATGCAGGTTAAATTTTAAAAGATGTGATCCTCAGATGGTTTGAATCAATGCAGTTCTGCTCTCTTCAGTAGAGCTGCATCAGTTTTCACCAGCTGAAGATGTTGCCCTTTTTGTGTATTTGTTTCAGATTTCCCTTTCTTGGTGTATCAATGTATATGTTGCCAAAGTTAATAAATGTATCAAGTTTGTGACTTGGGCAGATTTTTTTCTAATAACAGAACTGATCAGATAAAGTCAACATTTCTGTGTCTTGTTTGGTGGCTGCCGCTGACTCTGGAGATTTAGGCTCTTCTTGCCTTCCCATCTTAAGCCAGTTTTCTTCCTTGCTCATTGGCAGGAAAATCTGGGATTCTGGGGACTTGGGGCTTTTAAATTTTATTTTCTTTTAAATTCCTGTCATGCTCTCATTCAAGTGCAAATCAAATCAGTGTCAAATGCTTTATTTCATGAATAGTGGGGTAAGAGTTGGGTGAGTTCAAATAAACTGCAGAAGGATTGGCTTAAGTAGCCACATGGACAAAGTATTCTGTATGCTCATAAACCAAAGAATCTGAATTTTCTACAAAAGCTAGTAGGACTTCTGATGAAATGGAATTCCATATTACATGTGCCACCAGGAAGTACTTGCATATTTTTAGAAACAAGATGGAAATGGTCTACTTCATAGATTTCTTTTTTTTTTCTCAGAAAACATTTGATTTTACTAGATACTCCATAATAAGATGAAAGTGTTATGAACAACTGAAGTCTTAGTCTGATGCTATTTAGTATCAAGTACTGTAGCAAATAAAATCTTAGATTATTCAGTCTCCTAGATAATGAACAGTCCAAAATAGGATATCTTTTTGTTGTTTAGTTTTTCTTCCAGTAATACAAAGCTTGCATTATTAGAAAATGCCTTTGGTATATAGTGATTAAATTTTAATCCAAAGCAGAATGAGGATTAGAATTTTTCAAAAGTATCTGAGAACAATAATAGTGAACATCTCTTTATATTTTGATGGTGTGGCAGTTCACTAGCTGTGGGCACTGCTATCTGGAAATAGGCACCTCAGAAAATTTCTCACTGGCAAATACATCTATAAGGAAAAAGCTTTTCATCTGTATACTGAAGGTCACATAGCGTGATAGATTTTGCTTGCATGATAGAATTAACTGAAGTGTTTCTTCTTGTTAGTAGTTGTCAGTTAGGGAAGAACAGCCAAGCAGAATGAAATTGTTCCTATTTCATTTGGAAATATCTTAAAAGCAACTTAGATACAGCATACTGCAAATGAAGGGTGCAACTACAAACATGTGAAATGCTTTGAGAGCTTCTTGTTGCAAACATTTAAACATAAGGATGTTATATATCCCTGAGCATACCTACCACAAAATATAAAACACAGAAGGCAGAATTATCACAGCTGTGAGAATAAAACAAGGATAAGCTGGAATAACTTTCCCCAAGTCATTAAGTTCTTATTGAGCACCTCATGGCTCTGCTCTTGTAGGCCAGTCCTTCCCCAGGGCTTTAATGAAACTTAGTCTTTTTCCCTCAAAATTGCTGAGTGAAATATTTTTTAAAAATCTCTATCTAAAAAAATCCCAAACAAGTCACACAAAGAATTTCTGTGGTGCATGCTTAGATGTCACTTGATTTCATGCCTCTTGTTTCTCATGCCTCAATTTGTGATGAATTTGCATTTCTGGTTTAGGACTGAAACCTTACAGCTATCTGCAAACTATCTAGAATATTTCTGGAACTGTAGAAATAACTGCAAGAGTTGCGTTGTACTCTGTTTGCTGGAGTTGGTTTAAACTCCATACACAGTCCTTTCCCCAAATTGAAAAGTATGAAGAGCAAATTAATCTCAGCAGTTCTAGTAAGTGGAGTGTTGCAGGTTTAGCGGACAACATGCTGCTTGTCGCTTTAGAACGGGAATGCAACATGTGCTATTCTCAAACATGCTATAAATGCTATAAGATAACATGCAAGTCTCACCTTGCTCTAGTCTCTAACCAGCAGCTTCAAGATGTGCCCAAGAATAAGGCCACGAACAGGGATAAAGGGGAGTTGCGGGGGTGGGGTGAGGGGAGAGGAAGAAAAAAGAAAAAACATGCAGCTTCTGTCCCTTACCTCCCACATTCTTTCCAAAATGTTCCTTGTCTCTTGCAGCTCACAAGCTGAGAGGAGGAAACAAAGGTCTTTATATCACTTAATATAAGAATTATTTTATTTATAAACTCTTCAAGAACGCTTTAGGAAAAACATTTTTTTCTACTCATCAAACTGGCAACAGTGACTGTAGAGCTTCTCAGAGCCCAGAATCCCCTCCTTGTGAAGTCAGGGAGCCAGGGGCTGTTTATATAAAAGGTTGGGAACAGAAAATCCCTGTGAAGGTCTAAAGGTATGAAAAGTGCTCAGCTAGGACAAGTCTTAACTTGCAGTGAAGTCTTAAGGAATTATTCTCTAATGCGTGGAGTTTTTGTCTTGTATGATCTTTCCCCCACACCCCTGGCCCCATTCCAAATCACCCACCCCCAGTTTCCTGGGCTCCTAGGGAATGAGAAGGGACTGTAGCTGAAGGAAAGAACACAGATTTCCTGGGCTACCACTGCCTAAGAACTTCCCATGTTAGGATGCAAGAAAAGTCTCAGCCGTCAAACCACCTGTGAATCCCTTGTGTCCTCTGTCTTGTCTCTCATGGTCTCATTCTCTGTGGGCAGATTTTAGCCCTGGAGCTGTATTTTTTGGAGTTGGTCTCCTGGGGAGGGAGCTTGCTCTGTTCTTCTCTTAAACAGAGCTAGTGGAGACACTGGGCATGGGGCAAGGTGAGTGCAGGCTAATCAATGTGTCACTAGGCTGTGAAGTGCTCCACAGACTGGGTGTTGAGAGGGAAATCCAGGCCTCTGCTTCCATTTGGTTTCTGGCAGTTTGATGTTTACTTGGTGTCCTTCATGTACTTTGACTTTTACTTGTCCATCGTTGGCATGTGCTGCCCTTCCCTGTCAACTCCCTTCCCCAGGAGATCTCATTGTACAGTGCCCATTCTTGTTCTCTCTCTCCGTGTTTGGATGTACTGCTCTGTGTAACTCAGTGGGTCTCCCTCTTTCTGGTTTGTTTTTTTTCTAGATTCCTGCCGTTTGTTCATCGTTGTGCCTAAAGCATGTCGATGTGGCGTTCAAGTACATCGTCCAAATCCTTGTCTCTTCAGCT